TTGGAATATAAGAAAAAAAACACCCAATCAGCATAGAAAAAGAAAAAAAATAGAAAAAAAAATGAAGACAGTATAAGAAGCCTCTGGGACAACTTCAAGCATACCAACATTCACATCAAGGGGATACTGGATAGAGAAGACAGAGAGCATGAAATTGAAAACCTATTGGAAAAAATGACAGAAAACTTCCCTTACTTGGTGAAGGAAACAGATATAAGTTCAGGAAGCACAGAGAGTTCCAGACAAGATGAACCCCAAAAGACTCACACCAGGACACATAATAATTAAAATGCAAAATGCTAAATACGAAGAGAGAATCTTAAAAGCAGCAAGAGAAAACCAGTTAGTTACCTACAAGGGAGTTCCCATAAGACTGTCAGCTAATTTCTTAACAGAAACTTCACATGCCAGAAGGTAGTGGCAAGAAATATTCAAAATGATGAAGAGCAAGGACCTACAACCAAGATTACTCTATCCAGGAAAGATGTCATTTAGGATCAAAGGACACACAAAGAATCTCCCAGATGAGAAAAAGCTAAAGGAGTTCATCACTACTAAACCAGTATAACATGAAATGTTAAAGTGTCTTCTTTAAGAAAAGAGAGAAAAAAAGATATGAACAATTAAGTGGCAATTGAATCTAAAACTCAAAATAAATGAACAAACAGAATAGAAACGAACTCACAGAATATTTTGACAGTTGCCAGCTGGGAGAGGGGTTGGGAGATGGGTGAAAAAGGTGAAGGGATTTAGAAGCACAACTTGGTAGTTACAGAATAGTCATGGGATGTAAAGTACAGCATGGAGAATGCAGTCAATAATGTTCTAATAACTATGCATGGTGTCAGACAGGTATGAGATTTATTGGGATCATCACTTAGTAAGTTATATAATGTCTAATGTACACTAGGGTGTACACCAGAAACTAATATAACATTGCATGTCAACTGTAATTGAAAAATAAAAAATAATTAAAAAAAAATAAAGTTCACAGTACCAATATTATTTCAAAAATTCTAATGCTGTGTTTGGCTTAAAAGGTCAAATTTTATCATTAGCAACAAATACTGTGAGTTTTCTTCTTTAAGTGACAGGCTCACTTTGTTCATTTTTGAGATGTCTGTCAAATGGGCAGATCACTGTAACTTTTTTAGTTATCAGATGTTCTTTCAAGTAAAAATGGTGTTCCATTAACAAAAACAGTGGTTAGCTCAGCTTGTAACTAAAAACAATCATAAAAGTGCTTTTCCCTTGAGATATTCATTCATAACACTTTCAGTACACAGAAGATGTGTTTCTTGCCTACTTTCATTTTGTCACATGAAATATTAACATGTATACTCAAGGGTCAAGATTTAATAAAATTAGTAATTTTTACCATATTCTCATAAATGCTCTTAAGTAAAACTGGCTTTTTTCTTTTTTAAATCTGTGAGTGTTCAGTGGTGAAAAATACAACTACTAAGTACAGCTGTTCATCCTTATCCACTTTTGCTTTCCATGGTTTCAGTTATCCAAGGTCAACCATGGTCTGAAAATATTGAAGAAAAAATTCCAGAAACAGACGATTCTAAAGTTTCAAATTGCATGCTGTTCTCAGTGGCACAATGAAATCTCTTGTAGTCCTGCTCCATCCTGTCCAGGATGTAAATCATCCCTTTGTCCAGCATATCCCAGCTGTACATGCTACCTGCCTGTTAGTCACTTGGTAGCCATCTCAGTTATCACACTGACTGCTGTCACACTGCAGTGCTTGTGATCAAGTAACCCTTATTTTACTTAATAATGGTCCCAAAGTGTAAGAATAGTGATGCTGGCAATTCAGCTATGCCAAAGTAAAATGGTAAAGCATATGTAAGTATAGGAAGAAATACAGCATACTATATATAGGATTTGGAACTATCCCTAGTTTCAAGCATCCACTGGGGGTCTTGGAACATATGTCCTATGAATAAGGGGGGAAGGTACTGTAGTTTTATGCCGTTACCCTGATATGGACCAAGGTGCCAGGATTTTAGCCCCCCAACCAGTGAACACAGTGAAAAAGACAAATCACATCTTCGTATCACTATGAAAGTAATTTTGATTGTGTAGATCCCCCCAAAAGCTCTCAGGAATCCCAGTCCACACTTTAACAACCAATGTTCTAGTATGACGGGTTCTACTTTCTCTATGAGGTAGGAGGCAAAGCTTTAGGATGGACTTAACATTTGAATAAAGAAGGTAGAGAATGATAAGCAGAGGCTTAATTAGAGAAAAGTAGAAGTAAGGCAGGTAAGAGAAGGGCCCAGGTGTAGTTGAGGACCATGAATTTACAGTGACCCCAATCTGTTGTGATTTTTTTTTTTGTATCCTGCAGTAATGAGAAAATAGAGTTTAGCAGAAAGTAAATAAATAGATTAATTCAGAATTGATGGTTTCACCTGACAGGAAAAGGAGTTGAAAAGGTAAAAGAATACAATCTAAGATGGAAAGAAAAGAAATTAGTTGCAGGAGAGAGGTACAAAATGTGGAAGTAGTAGAATGGGGCCAAGGAGTTTGAAGGCTGAAAACCAATAGAGTGGGATAGAGTTAAAAAGATAGAAAAAAGAGACAAAAAATCTTGCTGGAACCATGAATAGGTTCTAACACTGATAGATGCACAACTCCATACATTTCCTAAAAATCATAAATTGTGTGTGTATATATCATGTTTATTTTGTGACATGTAAATTATTTCAAAAACTTGTTAAAAAAGACCTGGAAGATTGTAGTCAGAAACCAAGATGCTTCCATTTAAAATCTCAGAGGTAGGAGAAGTTCTAGGGTGTGGTCAATAGAGTAAGTAGTTTAAGGAGAATGGAAGCAAAAATCATAGGTGATGAACAACTAGAGGAATCAAGAAGCCAGTCCCCAAATGATAAGTATAGTGTTCATTCACTTCACAAATAGTTATTCATTAACTACTATGCACCAGACACTATTCTAAAAACTGGGGATTCATCAGTAAACTTTAGCAGAAAAATCTTTGCCCTTGTGGACTTACATTCTAGTGTGATACCAATTTTGCATGGAAATTTAAAAAAGAGGATATGTGCATGCGTGTATGTGTACATATATATTTGTGTGTATATATGTATATATATAAAAAATAGAAGGATGTATACAAACTCTTAAAAGTGACTGCCTCTAGGGAAGAGAGTTGTGAGTGAGGGTAAGGTCCAAAAGTTGTACTTTAACATTTTACATATTATACTATAGTCAATATTTACACAGAACTTATAATATGGCAGCACTGTTCTGAGTGATTTATAGATTTTGATTATCAGAACAATGTATACCAAAATCAACACTATTTGTAGATGAGAAAGATTAAACAAATTTCCCAAGTCACCCAGCTAGTAAGTAGTAGAGCCAGATTTTCAGTGCAGGTAATCTGGTCTGGGGTATTAACCATTGCACTATGTATTAGTCAAATACCATAACAAATGATTCACATGTAAAGGTATTATTAAAAAATAACATACAAGAGAAAATGTTTTCTTTCACAGAACTCTGTTCTTTTCGTTCACAGCATACATCATAATTTTAGGTTAGATATTTAAGTTACTTGTTTATTATCTGTCTCCCCTGCTAGGCTATAAGATCCCTAAGAACAGAAACCACACAAACTTTGTTCACTGATGTTTACCCAGCAAATACCATAGTACATCAAAAAATGTAGGCATTTTATAAGTATTTATTAAAAATAAATTAATGAATCCATCAATCAATCGGGGAATTTCAGATAGGCACTGTAAGAAGCTGACTATATAATTTAAAGCAAACTTATCGGAAATAGTTTACTAGATATTTGATTGCTATAGTCACAGGAAGAAAAATAGGTTATATTTATACTTCAAGCAGAACTATAGTTTATAGGTTATTTATAAAAGACTTACACAGATTTTGTTCATAGTTCCCCCTTAGCACAATTGGGGATAAAAATGAGAAAAAAGTGACTGATGTTTACTCTTGCCACTGTGTATGCAAAACTGGCTAAGAATCCACAGGGGCTGCTCTATGGATATGAGAAAGTGTGACTGGAGGGGATATGGGATGGAACGCATCACTGCCTATTCTTAAAAACTGTTTTGTTACCTGACGTAACAGGAATGTTTGGGGTAAGGTTGGGGTCTGATAATAAAGAAAACTAATTTTCACTGGTTACCCAGAGAAGGAAATAACCACTGTGATTCAGTGTACTCATGGCCTAATTTGGGGAAAACCTCATCTCCTTTGTACCTAAATACCTTCTGGGGAAACATCCAATTCGTATCTTACGGAAAGTTTACCTTTGGAACCTAGTTCCTACTGGCAGAGCAGCTCTTCTGAAAAAAACAACACTCAGCACTTACTTCTCCAGGGCTACTTTTACCCTGGGTAGGACAGAAACACCTGTTTTGAACCCTAAAGGATGACTGAAGTCTTCTCTATACGTGCCCTTCCTGCTCTCAGTAACACTGGCTCCAGGATGATTGAGAGAATAAACTTTAGGTCTTAAGGGAGACTTAATGAGAAAAGTAAGAAAATCAAATAGAAACAAAACAAACAACAAATCCAGGATATAAAATTTCACTAACTACCTACCAATAAGGAGTCAACAGGATTCTGAGACCTCAGAAACCCTCCCATTCTGACCTCACTCTCACATATTTTTTTCATTCTTTTGAAACTAAAGAGCTAATTTTTCTTGGTATTGAACATCTGGTCTGGCCAACAGGGCACTCAGATCATACATGGCAGCCATGATGTCTCCTTATCGACTTCCACAACTCTCTAAATCTAAGACAGAAAAGCAGCAGTTAGGAGCTATAAACCAAGGTCCCTTCACCCTTAAAATATCCAATGCATAGATGTACCTATTATGGTCTCATTATTAATGCTACAAACTACATAAGATTTTCTTCTAGATTTCTCTTTTTATTATTAAAATACTTAAGTGATAGTTATTCATATTTTTATTTCATTGAACTTTGTACCTTTTCACCATTGCAGGATTATAAAGGTAGATCTTCATAAAGTATCTTTCCTTCTCATGATAACCATAAAAAGGCCTGGAATAAAAGAAAGAAAATCAAATTATTTTCTTCATTCAGAGATGAAATAATGTAACTTACTGCTCTAATTCAACTCAGCTGACCTAATTCAGTCTTACTTATATTAAATATTACCCCAAACCCTGGCCCCAATACAAAAACTCCAAGACCTTTGCAATTAAAACCTACCACAGGTTAACATGTGAAATATTAAAATATGGTTACTTTTCAAAAAAAGTTTAAAAATGCCACTTTTAAAAACTAGAGGAAAAAAAGAGCAGCAAATCATCATGATTCTTCAAAAGTGGCACTTTTTATTCTGACCCTGTATGAGACAAAACAGATCTTTCAAGCATGTTCTCCCATTTACCATTTTTTCTGTCAAAAACTAAAAGTTCTTCATCTGCAAAGTCCTTTAACAAACAGCATTTTATCATTTTCCTCAACCATGTTTATTAATTTTGCAAGTTCATTAGGCAGAAACAGTTTATCTATTATGTATATGTTTGTGTATAACTATTACACACACACACATTTAAGTTTCAAATGAAGCCTTTGAAACCTGTGTAGACAGGAACTTAGGAGACTGAAAAAACCATGGACTTACTTAAGGACCCTAATTGTGTTGCGGCTGGGTTTTTCGCACAGCATCAACTGGAATGTGACAGGAAGAAACAAAAATCTATATGATAGGGAAACAAGTCCTCAAAACAAGACAAAGTAAGTTGGGCTATCATGTTTCATCATTTCAGGAGGATGTGCAACTATATATGTACATCTGACATACACATCACTCTTTTCAGAGACAATGTACATAGAAACAATATGTGAACAGGTAGGAATCTGTAGACTAAATAAATAGTTGTGCACCTGCTTAGCATGTCTGTAAATAAGTGATTGATTAAATCTTTAGGTGGATATACCCAATCACCTTTCATTTTTTAAAAATATTACTTTCAGCCCTGGCTGACACAGCTCACTGGATTGAGCGGCGACCTGCGAACCAAAAGGTCGCTGGTTCAATTTAGGGCACATGCCTGGGTTATGGGCCAGGTCCCCAGTTGGGGGTGTATGATAGGCAACTGTTTCTCTCTCACACAATGTTGTTTCTCTCCCTCTCTGTCTCCTTCCCTTCCCCTCTCTCTAAAAGTAAATAAAATCTTTAAAATATATATTAACTCATTTTTGGTTTTTGTGATATAACCCTCTTTTTAATTATATCTTATTGATTATGCTACTATAATTGTCCTGATTTTTCTCTCTTTGCCCCTACTCCACCCAGTACCCCCTACTCTGCCAGGCAATCCCCACACTGTTGTTCACATCAATGGGTCATGCATGTAAGTTCTTAGGCTACTCCACTTCCTATACTGTACTTTATATCCCAGTGGCTATTCTGTAACTACCTATTGGTACTTCCTACTCCCCTCACCTCTTTACCCATTTCCCCATAACCCCCTTTGACCTGACAACCATCAAAACACTCTCCATATCCATGATTCTGTCTCTGTTCTTGTTTGCTTAATTTGTTTTTTAGGTTTAACTGTTGATAGATTTGTATTTTTTGCCATTTTGTTGTTCATAGTTTTGATCTTCTTTTTCTTAAATAAGTCACTTTAACATTTCATATAATAATGGTTTGGTGATGATGAACTCCTTTAGTTTTTTCTTGTATGGGAAGCTCTTTATCTGCCTTTGATTCTAAATGGTAGCTTTGCTGGGTAGAACAATCTTGGCTGTAGGACCCTGCCTTTCATGGCTTTGAATATTTCTTGCTAATCCCTTCTAGCCTGCAAAGTTTCTTTTTGGAAATCATTTGACAGTCTTATGGGAACTCCTTTGTAGGTAACTAACTGCTTTTCTCTTACAGCTTTTAAGATTCTATCTTTAACCTTTGGCATTTTAATTATGATGTGTCTTGGAGTGGGCCTCTTTGCATCCATCTTATTTGGGACTCTGTGCTTCCTGGATTGCATGTCTATTTCCTTCACCAAATTAGGGAAATTTTCTTCCATTATTTTTTCAAACAGATTTCCAATTTCTTGCTCTTCTTCTTCTCTTTCTGGTACTCCTATGAGGTGAATGTTGAACCTCTTGAAGTTGTCCCACAGGCTCCTTATACTCTCATTTTTTAAAATTCTTTTTTCCTTCTTCTTGTTCTGACTGGTTGTTTTTTGCTTCCTTATATTCCAAATCATTGATTTGATTATCAGTTCCATCCACTCTACTATTGTTTCCCTGTTTTTTCTTTATTTCAGTTCATGTATTCTTCATTTCTGACTGGATCTTTTTTATGCTGTTCAGGTCCTCACTAAGTTCCTTGAGCATCCCTATAACCAGTGTTTTGAACTCTACTTCTGACAATGCTTATCTTCATTTCATTTAGTTTTTTTTTCTGGAGTTTTGATTTGTTCTTTCATTTGGGCCATGTTTCTTTGCCTCCTCATTTTGGTAGCTTCCCTGTGTTTATTTCTATGTATTAAGTAGAGCTGCTTTGATTCTGTGTCCTAGTGCAGCCTAATGAAGTTGGTGACCTGTAGGGTCCAGTGGCACAGCCTCCCCTATCACCCAAGCTGGGTACTCAAAGTATGCCCTTCCTGTGGGCTGAGTACACCCTCCTCTTGTAGTTGAGCTTTGGTTGTTGTTGGCAGATCAATGGGAGGGATTTACCCAGGCCAGTCAGCTGCAAGGATTGGCTGTGACCACTTACCACCAACCTCTACCCTCCATGGAGGATCACCTGTACAAGGGCAGAGTGGTGGTGCTCTGATGTGGTCTGTAGCTATCCACTGGGTGTGCTGGGGGGGGTATCAGCCCCCCACCTATGTTTTGCCCAGGGCCACCCTGTCTAAACTATAAAGCAATCTGAGAAGGCTACTACTTGTGCTACTTGTGTTGGACTGGGAGATTCACAGGCTAAGCCAAGCTGTGAAACTAAACTGGCTGCTGCTACTGCTGGGCCTGGGACTCACTGAGGCCAGCTACTGCTTATTTGATAGGATTTGGGCAGTTGTGAAACGTGAGCCAAGACCAGTCATTCATATGAAAGAGCAGCTTGGGTGGGCCCATAAGTTGGGTGGGACTGAGTCTCTGGGGATCTCCAAGGAGGGTCAAAGAGTGCTATCCAGGTTGATGGAGTCTGAGATATGGCACCAGCTTGCTGCCTCTGTGGGTAGAGGGTATAAGAAAGGGACAATGGCCTCTGCTTACCTTGATGCCAGATACTTCAGTTTCTCCCTGTAATACCACTGGTGCCTTTCAAGCTGCTACCTTGGTGCTAGAGCTCAGAGGGGGTGAGTCTGAGTAGGTGAGTCCATGCGTAGGTTCTTTAAGAGGAACTGCTTAGGGCTCCAGCAGTTTCTTCCACCAACTTAATCCCCACTGGTTTTTGCGGCCAGAAGTTGTGGGGACTTATCTTCCCAGAACTGGAACCCTGGGCTGGGGGGTCTGGTGTGGGGCTGGGACTCCTGAGATATCCCTCTTGAATTTTTATCCACCACACGTGGGTGAGGGCCCAGCCCATTCTACATCTAAGCTCCTCCTACCAGTCTGGATAGATATGGTTTCTTTAATTCCATAGTTGTCATACTTCCATTCAACTCTATTTCTTCTTTTTATTTAAAGATTTTTTAAGTGTGTTTTTAGAGAAAGGGGAAGGTAGGGAGAAAGAGAGGAGAGAAACATCAATGTGTGGTTGCCCCTCACACACTCCCTACTGGGGACCTGGCCCCACAATCCAGACATGTGCCCTGACTGGGAATTGAACCGGTGACCCCTTGGTTCTCAGGCCAGCACTCAATCAAATGAGCCATACCAGCAAGCACTCAACTCGATTTCTGACAGTTCTGAACAATGATTGCTCTACATTTTAGTTGTAATTTTGATGTGGCTGTGCCAAGAGGTGAGCCATGTCTGCCTTCCCCACCATCTTGACTGGCAGTCCTTTACCTTTCATTTTAAAAAGTGTCCTCTTATGATAGGCACTAGAGAAAACTTAGTCTTAGTAGGACACCACTTCTCTCTATCATGTTTCCATGTAGTTAGTGGATATCAAATATAGGAGAAATTTGGCAGTGGAGTCAGTATATGAAGTATATTTAAACAACTTTTTAAAAAAGCTGTTTAAAGCTTTAGATCAGTGCCATCTATATGATTCCTGTAAAGCAATTTCTATTTTTTAAAAATCCAACTATTTACCAAGGTCTGAAAGGTTCTTTATGTCGCCCTTGCCACTTGCTCCAATCTTACATCATACAACTCTTCCTTTTTCCTCCAGCCATTCTAAACATTTCAGCCCCTCCAACTTGATCCACTCTCAAGTAACTTGCCATTCCATTTTCTCTGCCCTAAACCTTTGCATGACTTGTTTTCAATATGCACTCAGGTCTCTGCTTAAACTTACCTCCTCAGAAGGCCCTTCTCTGACCATCACTACTTATCCCTTACTCTTCACCCTTCCTTGCCTTTTTGTTTTTTATAACACTTAAAACTCACTGTCCAGTTTGCTGCTGTACACCCCATTTTGTTTGCCATGAAGAAAGGGGTGAGAGACATATTAAATAATCTTATCTCTCTCGTTTGCAAAATTCAACTCTTTATTCCTTATGCTGTATTTTTCATATATATAAATATCCCTCTCTGTCTGGAGATATGACTTATCTTTAGCCAGATAAATGGGGGAAACAATTAAATCTGAATTGGTAGTCCACATTAGCTTTGTTTCAGTTTTGTTAACAATCTTTAGTTTTTTACATATACAATCTCACAATTTCAAAAACTGAATATAAGTCTATCAAACCTCTAAAATATTTTATAAATCTAGGATTCTGTTTTCTTATCTATTGCCCCAAAATATAACCTGAAAACTCCATAATTTCAGTTTCGTGTTTCTTCTGGCCAAGCAAGCAAGTCTCTGCATAATTGTCCTGGCAACCCTTAATTCCTATTGTTGGCTGTGGTTGATTTTGCCAGAAAAATTTCAACAGAGAGACTCTGTGGAGGGAAGAAAGTAGAATGGAGAAGAGTTTGAGGGCAGATATTTTTATGCTTAAAAATTTATATCTGGTAACTAAAGTTAGTTCTTTAATATAACAATGAGAAGAAAAATAAGCACAAATAACGAAAAAATGTCAGCTAATTAACTTAGATGAACTTAGAATCTCTTAATAGGAGCTGTCCTACTTTAGGCACATCACAAGAAGGTAGTGTTCTTAGAAAAGACAATAATGCTGAGAAAAATAGAAGGGAGTAGGAAGAGGGGAAGACCAAATATGAGATGGACTAACTCCATAGAAGAAGCCATAGGCATGCTCCTACATAGGCATAGGAGCTAAGCAGGGCTGTTAAAGATAAAACATTGTGAAATCACTATTAGTAGGGTCACCAGGAGTCCAAGCTGACTCAAAGATTCCTAACACCCAAGTGTCAAAGAATCCCAGAAATAAGGCTAAGGCCATGTTGTGGTCCTCTCTCTTAACTCAGCCTCAGGATAATGCATAGTCTAGGGAGACTGGAATTAATACATCTTGTACAAATTTTAATTTGGTAGGTGATGCAACCTTGTCTATCTTAAAGAAGGAATACTGAAGGAGTAAAGGAATCCCAGAAACTAGAATGTATGGTAAGGGAAAAAGGGATCTAGGTAAGCAAAAAGCCTCCCCCAAAACATTGAAGTATGAGAAAAAAAAAATGGCAGTCATAAATTAGATTGAATAGCTCATCTTTTGCCCTGGGTATCCAGACTTATTAAAAAACATGCCAATGCCTTTAGCAAATACCTATCAAAAATATAGAAAGATTGGTAATTAACTATTCATTTTACTAGGCTGTTTGGAGATTTGACTTTGAAATAGTATGTATGAAAAAGTTCTTAGAAACCACTAAACATAAAAAAGTTAGAATACAGAGCTGATGATTACCTTCAACATAATTACTGCTGTCATAAGAGGGGTATGAACTTTCACCTCATTTGCTTATTCAACCAAATAGCTATTGAGCCCTATCCACTAAGGGGCTTAACACCATTTAAGGTGCTGAGCATATAATGATAAACAAGACAAATATGGTCATTTTTCTTGTGAGGCTTACCTGATGGTGGGAGAAACATAAAAATTAAGCATATAAACAAAAAAATTAAAATATCTGCAAACTCTCTTAAGTGTTAAAGGAAACAAGGAATAGGCTGAGATACAAAATAAATTAATCTATTTAAAGTGGAGAAGTCAGAGAAAACTTCTCTGGACAGGTTAGAGGATTTGAAGGATGGGAGAAGGATGGGGAACTCAAGGAAAGGCAACTGCATGTACAAAGGTGGGAAAGAGCTTGGCACATCAAAGAAACTAAAAGACCAATGTTCCTGGATGGAACATAGTGAACAAAGTTACAGAGGTAGCAGGGGCCAGATCACACTGGCTGTGGTCAGAAGTTTAAATTTTATTCCAAGAATAATGTGAAGCCACTCAAGGATTTTAAATGATTTTAAAAGTATCAATATACATTATAAGAAGAGTAATTTTGTGGCATTGGAGTGAGGCAAGAATAGAAGAAGGGAATTCAATTAAAATGATACTGTAGTGGTCCAGAAGATAGGCTAGATTAAGGTAGAAGTAGTATACAGATTTAAGATCTCCACTTGGATTTCATACAAACATAGCAAACTCATTATGTCCAAGTATAAGCTCCAAATCTTTCCTGCCAGCCTGCTCTACCTTCACCTTCCATTCTTTTAGCAGTACAGACTCAAACTTTTGTAGTCATCCCTGATTCTTCTCAAAGCCATTATCCAATGAGACAACCAATCTTGTTGACTCAATTTTCAGAATAGATCCAGAAGCTAACCACTTCTCATTACTCCCCTGCAATTACCCTAGTGCCAGCCAGTGTATTTTCTCACTCAGATTAATGAAACAGAGTCCTAATGCTCTCTCTGCTTCCATCCTTATTCTTTTATGGTCTATTCTTAATAGCTGTTAAAGTAATCCTTTTAGGTTTAAGCTAGGTAATGGTTGCTCAAAATCATGGAATAGCTCAGAGTAAATGCTAGTCTTCAGAACAGCCTATGGCAGAAGTTCTCAAACTTTAGTAGCCACCAGACTTAGATACAGGTCTGATCCCAAGTAAAGGAGAGAGGGAGAGAGGGAAGATTGGTAGAGATGTCTTCTATTGCAGTGTGACTGTAATGAAAGCTCAGAAAGGCTGTCAGGAGTCCTCAAGTGTCTCCCAGGAACAGGACTGCCTTATATGTTTGCCATGCTGAACCATAGGCTGGGATATAGTCTATGGAAAGGAATTTTACAGCTACGGGATGATAGATGGATTTTAGTGCAGCAGCTGGGGCTGTTATTCAATTATACTCTCTATATTTTGAGATCTCAGAGGTACATTCTCATGGCTGTCAAACCAGGAAAAGTTGATGTTGGTGATCCTGGCAACAAAAGTACGGAAATCGTATTTTGGGCACCATTGGCCAACATGATCTCCATCCTCTCGTATCTCCCTCACCTCATTTTGTCCTACTCTCCTTTCCTCCCTCCATTCCAGCCACCTGCATCTATGCTGTTCCTACTCCCTCACATTTAAGTCTTTGCTCAAATGTCAAACTGCTAGTCAATAAGACCTCCCCTTTATTACCTTATATAAAATTGCCACCAGTCTACTTCCCCATCCTATACTACTAATCCTTCTTATCCTGCCCCACATCTTTTGTTCTATAGTAGTAATTACCATGTAATAAATACATTTATCTCATGTTATATCTATTGGTATTTTCTGTTTCCCATTACTAAATGTAACCTCCATGGGGGCAGAAATCATTGTTTTGTTCACCAGTATACTCCAAATGCCTAGAGCAATGCCTGGCACACAGAGGTGCTTAATTCATATTTGTTGAATGAATTACTTGAATTTCTAGTTTTTGAAAGCAGAGAAACAGAAAAGATTAAAACAAAAATCATTGTTAAACATCTATATGGTATTACAATAAAAATTGACTCTAAAAATTTACGGCAAGAAATTTGCCCCAGTTCCATAAGATTAGAAGTAAAAGAGCAATGAAGAGCATATTTTAATTGGATATATTTTCTTTTAATTAGAATGGCAATAGAAATACAGACAAATAAAAATTTTAAAAGGTAATATCACATACTTACATTCCTGATACTAACGACACTTTGAACACGTGCTGAGCAGTGGAAGATGGATTGCCTAAAGCCACATTAAGTGCTCTGTCGATACTGAATGCCATCTGAGACAGATAGCTTTCTGGCTGTTGTCCATAACCATCGTATGGCACATAGAGGTAAGGAAAGATGCCATGCAGATGAAGACATGTCTTCTGACCTAAAATGTAACACATTACAAAGTTTAGTCTTGAGAATACATTTAAACATTTTAACAGTACAAAGCTCAAAATTACATCATTTAAGTGTTCTAATGACAACACATCTAAGGTAAGGGCTGAAATAATTAACCCATAGTTAAAGCCACCTGTATTAACTATATTTTACAACAGAACATTTAGGAGCATTTTATAAACATAAGCATTATAGTATGATTTAAATAGTAGTTTTGGTGAAAATACATTTGACTATTTCACCTTCATGATCTAACTAGTTTGATGTACAACAGTCCTATAATACCACTTGGCAGTGTTATGAATCTTAACAAAAATTCACTGAAAGTTGACTAAGTAGATCAATGAATGTTTATCTCAGCATAAATGTTTTCAAACAAGAGACTTCCCTAAGGCAGAGACAGCTCTAGGTGAAAGGAGAAGGTAAAAACAGTTTCAGTGTGTGGAATTTTGCTATTAGGGGAAGGGGAAAATGGGGGTGGGGGGGAACCAGACACAAACAAATCAAAAGGAAATCTCTACAGATCAGTTGTCTGTAATAGACTTCTGGATATCTAAATTGCACATCTGATGGAGTGGGACACAAGAAGACACAATGAGAGGAGGGGAAAAAAAGCACGCACACGTCGCAGGAAGCCACTGTATCAAGCAAGGAGCAGAAGGGGTAAATGGTGCAGACTTGCCAACAGACAATCCGGCACAGCCATGATAAAGAAAGTAATATGAGTAAGAACCCACAAAAGAAGTGCCACAGAAACAGTAATGTATCCATGACAAGGTTAAGTAACAACAGCAACAACAAAAAGCAGGTGCACCATTACTCACATGAATCTGGCAGAGCTAGCTGTGTGGAAGCGGCTCCTGTTCCCTGAGCATTGTCCCTAGTTCCCCTTCCGTCCATGCTATTTGTCTAATTTAAGCAGAGAGGAGAGCAGCAGTGATGGAAGAACACATCCATTTTTCTCATGCTGTCACTCACTATCACTGTACTCTCCTGCCAGCACAATTTATTGGGCTTCTTGCCCAACCATTATTGTACTCTGTTTCACTGGGCTTTTTCTTTTGATAGGAAAGGAAGTAATTGTTTAGTATTTCCTAAATATAATTTAGAATGATTTACATAAAATGTACAAAAATGATTCAATGTTCTGTTGATAACTGTGTTTTTACACTTTTTATGAGTAACATCAGCTTCTCTTACTTTGAAAGTAGTTATAACAGAATTAATAAGTCTAGAAGTTATCACATACCAAAGAGCAAAATTGGAAAGATAAGTCACAATAGAGTAAGATCAACACCCTTCTCAGTATAGAGTTCTGATTTAAACTATCAATTTTCACACTTTTGAAGAATTACAATGGTCTTGCCATTAGACCAATTTCAGTTTCTATTTTTAGCAGCAGTTACGCTACTTAGTATCAGAGGAAAAATATTTCAATGGAAAGCAAATTCTTTGGCTATTTAGTTTAACTGCTAAATACAACATGGTACTATTTTCTAAATATTGAAGTTTTTGAATTGTTCACATAGAAAAAATTCAGGTTGTAATGATGAATGAGTCAAAGAAAATATAATTAATCAGTTTACTGATGATCTACTTGAATGCTTTTTAAACATCTCATGTTTAAAAAGGTTATAACCATTACTCTTCTGGATATAAACCACAATTTGGTTAAAATGACTGGCATGCTGAAGCATGAAGTGAGGGACGTAGAGAGATAGAGAAGTATTCCCTTTTTAGTTGACAAGTCTAAGATCAGTGATGACAGAATTACTAGTATAACAGCATATTTATAAGAAATATTGTAAGTTCCTAAAATACTAATTGTACAGACCCTTTATTTTAATGAAAATTTGGGTGAATTTTATGACACGAAATTGTAAAATGTGATTTTTACTAATGATTTCTTTATCATTACAGGGTGATCACAAAGTTCATGCATTTAAAAAAAGTATTTATTCTTCACATGTCCTGTGAAGTAAGGGGCCAGAGAAATGATCTTTCTCTTTATAGGCTTTGGAACTACAATAATTTGTGGTATATAACTTAGGACAAATGCAGAAATAAGTTATTCAGCAGGCACTGGACTAAGTGCTTTACATATATTTATTTCTACAACTTAGAATAACCTTGCAAATATCACAAAGTTTCACAGAACTATTAAGTAACTGAATCAGGATTTGAAAACAGGTCAACAAAACCTAAAACTAATGGTCTTTGCATTTTAACCATGCCAGTTCAATTAAAAAAAGTTAACATTGGCTTCCTTAATCCTTAATTTCTCAGTTCTTATGTATTACTGTAAACACCTGTTTCCTTAATGATTCTAATATCCCTAGGACCTTGCACAAACACACAGTATGTGTTAAATGAACATATATTAAATGAATTAACAAACCCTCAATATAACAGAGTAACTGTTTAAGGAGAAGGGAATGATGTGAAAGCCTTTGAATATCTGAAAAAAAATTATAAAAACAGAGGGACTCTGATACAACTAATGGAACTTCCATCAGGGTTACTGTAGAAAGTATGGGTGCTGTGAAGAGTCCTCAGCCTATTGCACTTCCTACCCTGAAAGACCCTAAGTCCCGTGCAAGTCTGTAGTCACTGCATCCACACAGATGTACCTTCCTGATTCTCCAGCAGCTCAGAGATGCTGGATGACAGTCCAGTGTCTCACTTACCACCCTCCCTCAAGAACAATCTCCTGAAGAACCACAGCACAAAAATTCTTGGCACAGCACTAATGACTCTAATACAGAACAGCTTCACGGGAAATAAAATGAGAAGATGAAAGATTCAGAAAGATAAGGGAAAATGTGTAAAAATAAATGTGAGTCATGTCTTAACATTATATTCTTTATTACTATAAAACTTGTAGTTCTGTAATAGCACTGCTTTATCTTGACAAAGATACTTCTATTTATTTCCCTCCAACAGCTCCACCCCTCAAAGATGTGTGGACCACATGAGGCACAGTCCCTTAGAGTTCAACTAGTCTACCTGTACCCCCTTGGTTAGGATTAGGTTCAGCTATGAGAAAATGCCCTAAAATCAGCGGCTTCGGCATTAAATTGGAGGCTTCTGTATCATAAAAGAAGTCCACAGGAAGGTAATTGGTACTAGGAACTCAGGTTTAGTGGCCTAGTTAAGAGGAACTTGTGTCTTTAGTCCTAAGGCTTTTCCTATACTGAGTTCCACACACAGTTTTTAAAGAAAGTTTATAGTTAGAGAAAGCTATGCCATTTGAAACATTACTAGATGATTTGAGATTCTTAAAGGATTTAGGATATTAGCTGTTTCTAGGTAAGATGTAGAGATAAAGAAAATATCGCTACTTTCTGAATGTTTCCCTTATTTTCATGTCAAACTGAATTAAGGCATACGTCCAGTGGTAATAAAGATTATATTTGAGAGAATAAGCCTATGTACATAACATAGTTTTCCAAAAATTTTTAAGAGTTTGAATTTTCCAATTAAACGGATGTCTAATTCAGAAACTGTAACAAAGTTGTTTCAGGAAAGCCCCATGGAAACTGGTCACAGAATAACTGCTGGTTTTTAAAGACTCTATGGCAAAACTCTGTGGAGCTGGCTACTTTCCAGCTGTGTGTAAGCAGGGACTGCATAAATAAGGCAGGTGCCTTTGTAACAGCAAGTACTTGGGTGCTCTAAATCTAATCTTTCATAGAACCTAGAATTACACTAAACATTAAATCCTCTGTATTCGAAGATTTCTTAAATTACTTTTCCATATTTTCTTCTATATTTTAAGTGCCTGGATTTGGTGTCTTAAAATGTGCATCTAAAATCTTATTAATTCATAACCAAATTACCTTTATTTTTGTAGATCCATGTTCGATGAACAGAAAGACTAACACATACCATTATTCTAATTCCAGGGTCTGCAAATTATTTTGTGTAAAATGGCAGACAGCAAATATTTTAGGCTTTGTGGGCCATACTATTTCTGATACAACTACTTAACTCTGCTGTTGTAGCCTGAAAACAGCCATAGGCATTACTTAAGTGAATGGGAATGGCTGGGGTCCAATAACCTTTCATTTACAGAAATAGGGGATGGTAGGGATTTGGTCCGTGAATAGTATTTTGTCAGTTCCTGCTGTAACTAATAGGACTTCATCATGATCCAGAATGGAAAAGCTTATTGTCTTCTTTTTTTTTTTTTTAAACAAGCTGATTATTATCCTAGGAGATTGAATAAGAAATGCTTATTTTGTAATTTGCAAACCCCACTTCCCAATATCAAACTCAATATACCAAAATTTTAAATAAAACTCTACAGATATCCTGTAAAAATACCTGGTATATGAACAGGAAAATTCATATTCATAGAATTTTTCATATTTTCTTTCTAGAATATCTTTTCTAAAAGTTTTATATCATCACCATTAACTCAATCTGTTTCCCTCCCGTCTTTCTTTGCTTCTTTCTAAATTTTCACTCCATAATTCTTTCCCCACTCCACAAAACTACAAAATGAACCAAACAGAACTCCTCATAGTTACAATGAGAAGGCAAGTATTATGTCATTTATTATCATTTTTAAAAGCCTTAGGAATATACTATTAGCCCTACAAATTACATTTTCAGATTTTATTCTAAGGGAAAAAAATAAGAATATACATGAAGATTCAGCTATTCAAATGCTAATATAGTATTACTAACAGTGAAAAAAGATGAAGACTATATAAATTTCCCAAAATATGAGATTATGTAATTATGGTATACTATATCATAGATGTATGACTCCCACACCAAATTCTGCTTGCTGCCTGTTTTTGTAAGTAAAGTTTTATTGGACTATATCACATCCACTTAGAATGGTGTGGGACTGCTTCTGCTACAGGCTCTACTCTGAGTTGAGTAGTTGCAAAGAGACCTTATAGCCCTGAAAGCCTAAAATATACACCACGTGGCCCTTTACAGAAAAAGTTCGCCAACCTCAGCAATATACATCAA